AAAATACCTGTTCATTATACTTTAAAAAGTTTTTGATCATATTAACATTTTTTGACATTAAATGTTTTTTTTTTTTATAAATATAAAAAAATTTAATAAACTAATAATATATAACAAATAAATGTACAATAAATGTAAAATATAAAATAAAGTAAAAATGTGTAAGGACTACTTTTTATAGTTAAAATAAAGTATTAATAATTAAAGTTATATTATTTTAATTTAACTTTTGAATTATTGGTCGCATTTTGCAATCATTTTGTGCAATAAAAACAAATATGTTGCTTAATTTAATTTGAAAATTATTTAATAATAAATTATTTTAAATTTACGTAATTTTATTGAATTTAATTAAATTTAATTATGTATAATAAAGATCTAAAAATGTACCTAAAATAAAAAATTAGGAAAAATTGTGTTCACATTTTTAATTAAAAACAAAAGTATTCAAAATTAAAATTATATTAATAAATAAATTTAATCAATATTAAAACACAAACATGTTGCTTATAAATTAAAGTTAATTAATGATATAACATTAAAATATAAAAATTTACTAAAAGATATAATTTAATAAAAATGTGTTTATAAATAAGTTAAATAACTTTTTAGTTAAAATACAGAAGTATTAATAATTTAAATTATATTAATAATTAAATTAACTTTAGGTTGATTTCATAAATCTTTTTAAATGCAATGAAAAAACACAAATATGTTGCTTATTAATTAAATTAAATTAAATTAAATTAAATTAAATTAAATTAAATTAAATTAAATTAAATTAATTTAAATTAATTTAAATTAAATTAAATTAAATTATTGATATAAAGATATAAAGATGCACCTAAAATAAAAAATAAGGTAAAAATGTGTTTTCTAATGTCATTTCTAATTAAAAACAAGTATTCAAAATTAAAATTATATTAATAATTGAATTAAATCAGCTTTTTGTTCTCATATGCAATTTTTCTAAATAACTTAGTCACATTAAAATACAAATATGTTGCTTATAAATTTCAGTAAATAAAAGTTTATTACTGATATAACATCTAAATATAAACATTTAGTAAAAGATACGATATAATAAAAATTTTATAAATAAACTTTATTAATTAAACTTTTTAGTTAAAATACAGAAGTGTTAATAATTAAAATTATATTAATAATTAAATTAACTTGTTGTTTTCAATTTTTAAAATGCAATGAAAAAAAGACCATGCAATGAAAAAAAAAAATGTGTTGCTTATTATATAAACATTTCATTTTCTCGTGATTTATGACTGTACTGTATTATCACGTCACATGCTGACTTGCATTCGATTTTAAATAAAGACCCAGACATACAACCTTTTGCGTTCTCCCAGAATCCTCTGCGCAGGCCCGATGGGAGAGGATGGAGACGGAGAGATGATGAGGAGCTGACAGTCGCTGGTCATTATCTCTCAATATAACACACAAAACATGTTCGACAGGTCATGATGCAAACCTTACGCCTCGGGCAGAGCAGCAGAGCTAACAAACACACCACTGAGCAATATATCACATAATAAACAGATGGAAAAACTGAAGACGAAGAAAAAACAGCAGCCTTTTATTTGCTGGAAAACATGCTCTGCCAGATATAGGCAAAGGAAACACTTCAGATTGAGAATTGAATACTGAATAATTAAAAGAGAAATACAAGACTAACATAAACATGTAAAAAGGGGCAAACTTAGCTATTTATTTTAATCCTACACTGGAGTATTTTAACCTTTGTGTCGTGTTCGTATTTTGGTTACTCATCCAGTGTTCATGGGTCTGGTGGACCCGCTAGAGTTTTGGCTTTCCAAATTAACACTATCAAACATTTTTATGTTAAATTACGTTTACTTAATCGCAATTACAAACATATGCACAGCAAACATAGTTAATTTTTCCCCTTTACCTTTGTTAGATCATATTGAGGAATTAATGTGCTTCTGTTTTATTATAATCATTATTTTTTATAAACCACAGATTTTTTTTTTTTTTTGTATTGTTCCCACCATGGTCATGGACATCATCATCAGAAGCTCCTCTCTCTTCCACAATCAATTGCAAGGCCCTAGCAGCAGATAATCTTTTGGCCAACTTGATCAGTTGTGATAAGGAACCACACTAGCAAGTCTTATTATAGTACTATGCCCCTAATTCACAGATGGGACGGGGTATGAGAAAATAAAGCTTGGTTTCTGCAAAAGAGAGGGTAAAATGTGCTGGAATGTAAGAGCAGACAGTGTTGATAGTTGAATTTTCAACAATGTTGCAACTTTGTGTGGGAGGGGGATGGGGGGTGGGGGGCTACACTTTCAAGACTTTTATTAAATCTGGGTCTAGTGGAACTGAACACCTTGTATGTATTGTAAATGTGTGGGGGGAGGTACATTATGCGATCATTGAAAATTAGTTCGGATTTATGTTCTTCACAGAAAACAAGCCAAAGCTAATGAATTTCAGGTTGAAAAAATAATTAATTGTTTAATTTTTCTTTTGAAAAAACTGAAGACGGGTCTCACAGACCCGAACACCATACAAGGGTTAATATTAAACTGACACTGTTTTAATTCATCATAATATTCTATGTGAAGCCGCTTTGACACAATCAACAAGCGCTATACAAATAAAGATGAATTGAATTTAATTAATGTTTAAAGTATTAAAAAAAATGCTTTTATGTGCAGTAAATTAAAAAAGTAGTTTAGTCAAAGAAAGTCTTACGGCTCTATTTTATTGATCTACGCACCAAGTCTAAACAAGCGGCGCAAAAGCATGAAGCGTGTGTCTAAAACTTCTTTTGCTATCTTAAGGATGAAAAGATACGATCTGCCCTCGCGGATGTGTAACGGAGACCAGCTAGTAAGTGCTGTGCCTAACATGGTTGTGCTTAACATAACGTGCATTAAACCAATCAGAGTATTGCTATTTACATGGCAGACTTGCTAAGTGGAAAAACTCATTTCTAATCACTGATTTATTTCATCTTTGTCATGATGACGGTAAATAATATTTGACTAGATATTTTTCAAGACACTTCTATACAGCTTAAAGTGACATTTAAAGGCTTAACTAGGTTAATTAGGTTAACTAGGCAGGTTAAGGTAATTAGGCAAGTTATTGTATAATGATGGTTTGTTCTGTAGAGCAGTGGTTCTCGAACTTTTTTCAGCAAGTACCACCTCAGAAAAGAATTGTCTTTCCAAGTACCACCAAAATGAGCAGTATTGAAATACAGTAGCGTAGTAGGCCCAGTAAAGCAGCTACAACTCTGCACAGTTAAAAAAAAAGTGGCAGATTACCTCAGAAATATAGGCTATATGTCATATTTGACATATTATATACATCATTTTTAATAAATTTTGAAATGTGTGTAGCATGTACATGACATATTTCATTTCTCCGCGTACCACTAGAAGGAAGCCTGCGTACCACTAGAGGTACACGTACCACAGTTTGAGAACCACTGCTGTAGACTATCTGAAAAAACATAGCTTAAAAGGGCTAATAATTTTGACCTTAAAATGTTTTTTTTATTTTATTTAAAACTGCTTTTATTCTAGCCGAAATAAAACAAATAAGACTTTTTCGAGAAGAAAAAAGTATTGCCAGACAGAAAATTTCCTTGCTCTGTTAAACATCATTTGGGGAAAAATTTGAAAAAAGACAAAAAAATCAAAGGGGGCTAATAATTCTGACTTCAACGGTATTTAAGATACAGAAGTTTATTAATATAATAATAATGGAGCTTTCATTAAAAACAGACAAAACAAGCCTTTAATATGCCAGAAAGCAATAAATTAAACTTAATTTAATTTAATTTAATTTAATTTAATTTAATTTAATTTAATGCATTCTGGCCTAGCATAGGCTTGGTAGGTCTGTGATGTACAGTATAGTCAAATGAAGCATTGTTATGTTTCTTTAAAAGTTAAGTTATACTGATAATTAAATTAAACTAAGTTAAATAAAATAAAAAAAATAAAAACAAGCCCTTATTGTCCCAGAAACACTCCAGCCAAAGTCAAAAAAGCAAGCATTGTCATGTTTCTCTTCCACGTGGAGTATATCTGGAATCCAGCATTCAGAGTCTACAGTATGTCTATTTCTGTTATGTAACTTTTTATATAACCGCATTGAAGCCAGCATACTATTATTAGCACGTCTGTACCTGCGAGCCCTCGAACCCTCGCAGACTTTTGATCCTTTATGGAGGCTGAAGTCGCACCGTCGATGCTCTTATAATCTCTTTGAAGAAATCCAGCTAACCTTCAGAGCCGCTGCTTTCAAAGGAATGCAAAAAACCACCAACACATTCACATTCTGGCAAATGGACAAAATCAGTCGCCTGTTTATATGGTAAAACCGCACACTTTACACCGCTGGTCAAAAGTGTAATGCAAATGTGATGAGTAGAGTGCTATTCAGCATTTGTCATGAGATACATCTGTTTTTTCCATAAGAGTGTTGGGTTAGTTTCTTCCAAAAAGTAATAATGGCATAATTAGGTCATTACAATTGTAATTAAGGCAGTGCGTTGGCTGGTTTGAGTCCCAGCTGGGTCAGTTGACGTTTCTGTGTGGAGTTTGCATGTTCTCCCCATGTTGGCGTGGGTTTCCTCCGGGTGCTCTGGTTTCCCTCACAGTCCAAGGACATGTGCTATAGATGAATTGAATAAACTAAATTGACTATAGTGTATAAGTGTGAATGTGAGTGTGTATGGGTGTTTCCCAATACTGAGTTGCAGCTGGAAGGGCATCTGCTGTGTAAAACATATGCTGAAATAAAATAATAATGCAACCCTTGATAAATAAGAAACCAAGTGAAAGAAAAATAAATGAATGAATGTTTGGTTGAGAAATGGCATAAATAAGTAAAAAGCATGGATTATTTTTGCAGGGAATGTTTGATTGTGCAAAAACGACACACTTTGGCTTCTGTGAAGTGATTATAATAACTGTTGTATTTTTGTGTTTGTGTTGCAGGTGAGGTGCCTTTACTCTCTGGACCAAACCACCAGTGCTGAAAATGAAGATCTGTGTTGCTTTTGTTGTAGTAGCTGTTCTTCACATCGCTCAGGCTGGTGAGTTTCTGGCTCTCGTGATCTGATGTGTCTGTTTAGTGACAAAGTGTTTTTTTTTTTTTTTTTTTTTTGCGTTACGTTGCATAAAATTAAATTAAAATAAAATAAAATAAATTTTAATAAATAAATAAAATAAGATAAAATAAAATATAAAAATAAAATAAAAAGATAAAATAAAATAAAATAAAATAAAAAAATAATATAAAAAATAAAATTAAAAATAAAATTAAAAAATAATAATGAAATAAAACAAATAATAATAAAATAAAATAAAATGTTAAGTAAAATAAACAAAAAAAAAAAAGTTGATGGACAAAATTTATTGAACTTTGAAAGCCAAGAGTGTATTATAAAAATTTCAAATTACAGCAATATTGCATTATATCTAAACTAAAATGTTAAGTAAAATACATACAATTTGAAATAAAATATAATTGATTAAAAGCAGAAATGATTAAAACAATGTTAAATATAAATATGTAGAATAAAAATTTTCTTGTCACGAAGCAGAAACTGTAGTTTGGAATAAAATCTTAAATAAAACCAACTAATATATAAAATATAATAGTCATTCATTCATTCATTCATTCATTCATTCATTCATTCATTTATTATCCTTCGGCTTAGCAGAATGAACCGCCAACTTATTTTAGTTTAAA